CAAATAACAACAACAAAGTACTTCTCTTTCAAATGAGCCCAGCTATCATGTTTCTCCCTGTTAACAGTTATATAGCGAAGAGGAATACCAAATGGGGTGATACCATGGAGCTCGCTACCGTTATGCTTCATTTAACGGATGTTGCCAAGCAGAGGTACAAAAGTAATGAGGCTGATATTCCAACTTGCGCATTCTTCAAAACAAGCATCACAGCTGTTTTCTAATGCCCTAGTGTGACACCCTTCAGGCAGAATAACGACTACAAAGTCAGTCACAACAAACCGATGAAACATTCACCAGCTACCCATCGGGGACATCATCGACCTTTGCCAGCGTGTCAACCTGACGATGGCAGCAATTGACAAGCTATGCCACATTGTGAAGGGAATTTCCGATGACGTCTTTCAATTGCTATTCCCCAAGAACCCTGCCCCTGTTTCTGAGCTCAATGAGCTTTGTCAGAGTTTTGACGAGCTTCAAAGATAACGTCTTCTCACGTGTTGCCCCAACGTTTCGGAAGACATCATCTCGAGCCTGACTGCCACCCCTGACCTTCTATCACTGCTCTTCCAGATCAAGGAGTTGGTATGTGTTGAGGTAGCTTTTCAGCTTTCTCTGCTCTCTGCAGCTGGCCAACCACCATCCCATCTGCCAGCAAACATTCGCCAAGTCATAAGAGAGCAAGTTTGTATGGCTCTGCCATCTACTCACTACACTTCACTGTTGCCGGTTCCCGTTGTCTGTGCCGAGGTAAATGCACCTCTCAGCCATGCTCAAGCTGCTGCATGACCACCTCCGCAGACCTTTGCGTCACTGCCATCAGCTGTGCCACTGTGACTCCATCCCCGGTTCGATCACTCAAGGTACAGTAAAACCTTGTTAATTCGAAAACGGTTTTTTCAAAATCCCACTTAATTCGACGGATTTTTGCGGTCCCGTATTTTGCAATGTAAGTTTGAGTGGATAATTTGAAGCGGTGGCGGGCACCAGTTTGGTTAATATCAGCAAACTTTGGGTGCGATGTACCAGTTCCAGATCCAGATTTTGCCACAAATCTGCAAAAATCATGACCCCTAATAGTCACATGGCAATGCAACATAGCGATACCAATGAGGGGCAGCTGGAGCACTTCAGCCTCGCTAATTACAGAAAAAAAACTAAAAAAAAAAAACTTCTTGTGAACAACCGAAACGTGTGCCTGCATGAAACTAAACATGCTTCGCTGCAGCACAGTGATGATATGCGGGCAGCATACCGCATGTCTCTAGGAACATCAGCGGCTCATGGTTTACCCGTTCTTTCAAGGATTGCAAAGAAATTAATAAAGGAGAATTTGGTGAAATTCACAATGTATGCGAACCCCCGATTGCTGGTTGCTCCAGCAATTCAGGCCTTTGCAAAGTTAGGAGTTTCTCTCCACCAATAAAGCCGTCATAGACTGCTCACACGCTGAGGTGGCATTTGAGGTGCTTCGCGACGCTGCGTTGTTTGATGCTCTTGAAAATGAGGACAAACTATTTGTTGCAAAATATGTTATCATACCGCTGCACTCATTTGCCCTTGCTACAGTGGCCAGTAACTCCCTCGCCGAGTAAAGTGCCCTTTTTGCACCATCTGCCATTTTCATTCGTCACAAACGTTCGTCACTGCCTTACACTCTTTTTGGAAACTCATGACGGTGTGAGCAGGCGGCTTGTCTCAAACCTGTTGTCATACCTTGTGACACTGCTTCGTGGTAAGTGTATTGGGTGTGTTTACAGACTCGAGCTTTCTACAATCATCAACATGCTGACTAATCCTTCCACCAAACGTGAGGTTGCGGGAGTCACTTGCGCCTCTTCGCTGCAGACTACTACGCCTGACGTACTGAGCAGCTCTGTCGCTGACACTGTTAACTGTTTCACAACACGCTCAGCTTCTACAACTTCTCCGCAAGTTCCGTTCTTGATTTGACTGCAAGCATTCTTCTCTCAGACGCATGTCAGCTGCATGTCACCGCATTGACATGGGTACCAGCCCCACTGCGAAGGCCCTACCGTACGTTTGCGACAAAGCCCAAGGTTATCAACAACCAAGTAGCTGACAGGCTCAAGTGTAGGGTCAATAGCCTCTCTTCTCGAAACGAAAGCTGGCAGAGAACGATGCATCCCACAATCCCTCGCTCTTTACCTGGTCACCTATTGAGCAGGCTGTAAAAAGCGGCAGGAGCCTAAAATCTGCGAAGGCAGACTTGTGCATAGGCGAAAATTGAATGTATGCATTGAGAAACAAGGAAGGCAATGTCATAACTAATATGTATCGCGTAGTGGAGATGGCAAAGGAGTTCTACAAAGAGCTGTACAGATGCCAAGAGAACCAGGATGATATTGGGAGAAACTATATTAGTCCAAGAGAATTCGACATTCTACCAGTAACGACAAGAGAAGTAAGGAAAGCCCTAGAAGGAATACAAAGAGGCATAGCCGCTGGTGAAGATAACATAAAAATGGGCCTTCTGAATGATGGCGGAGAAAATGTGTTAAAAAATTTAGCCCCCTTATATACAAAGTGTTTCTTGATGGGAATAGTACCAGTATCTTGAAAGAACGCCAACATCATCTTAATTCATAAGAAAGGAGACATCAAAGACTTGAAAAAATTACAGACTAATCAGCTTACTCTCCAATTATTCGGAGAGTAAGCCTCAGATTATTCGGAATTCGCGCGTGCGGTCGCCCGTTTATCTTTTTTCTGATAAACTATGCTTGGTTGTTCAGCTGTTGGCTCTTCCAATTAGAGCGTGAGAGGCAAACGCAGGTATCGATTTCCATGGACTGAAGAAAATGAATTAGGTAGGCCACTGCTGTGAAGAGAGCCACAGCAACAGGTAGCCTTTTAGTACCGAACATTGAAGCCAGAGTGTGCGAAGACCATTTTATCACAGGTACGTGTGTATTCTGCAGTAATAAATAGCTTACGCATGAATTTGCTGTCAATATTATATCGAGAAATAACGTGACGCGCAGGTGCGCCTAGAAAGATATTGTTACGTGAAAATAACAGTTCACAGTCCGCACCCACAACACAGCTCAGCAACAACATCAACTTCATCACTTCCAGTCTGAGGTGCCCTGCTTTGGTATGTCGCCCTGTTACCGTCAGCCGAAACCTTATAACAATATTAGGAATGCGCGGGCGAAATCTACCTTCTATACTAGATGAGCATCCATCATTGCGCCCATATATATGAGAAAAAACGCAAAAGCTTCACTCAAGAGTAAGTTTACAAGAAGCGCTGGACGAGTCCATTTGCGTTTATCTTAGTCAAACTGTGCCCCAGGACGACACACAAACGAAGAAGTGCGTTAAACAAGCGCCGCATTTCGATTATTCGGTGCCTTCTATGTCTGACTGTAGTGTTTATGTGTCACCGTGCCATGCAGCTTGACCAAAATCAGCGTTCAAATACACATCTAGCTTCGACTAAGAAATGCATCTTATAGCGCGCCTAAGGCTAGAAAAAAAAAAGATGTCTCATCAACACACTCAATAAGTGCTGCGCTTCATGCCGATCGACCGAAGCAGGGATGCCGAAATGAATTCTTAGCACACTGCTACAGTCATCCCCATTCCCTGAGATCTTTAAAATGGTGATTTTTCATGTGCAGTAACATATCATACAATGAAAAGTGTATTCTGTATTGACTGATCTGCTAGCCAAACTGACAGTACCCCTGAGCAGTGAAAAAGCATTGCAGATCATTTCATTACGACAAAAAAGTTTTCTTACCGTTCATGGCTTTTGTAGCTTGTCATCGTCACAGTTACGGTTAGCAAAAACAAAAAAAAAACAACTTCTAAAACACTGACATTGCATGGAGAGGTGTTTTTCTTAATGAAGCGGTACAAAAATGCACGCGTGTCACTGCTAACTCGTGAGATGCATCGAACCAGAAGCCGTCATATCCTACAGTTCCCTGCGATTGCCCATATTACCGGTCACCTATTCTTTCCATGTTATACCTCCTGATGTCGGCTACTTTACGCCTCTTGAATAACATCGAAAGCTCCACTAGCGATATTTTGTCGGTTGCATTTGAGACTTTCATGATTTGTCGCTTTTTAATAAGATTTTTTTGTCTCCTGAAATAGTTTGCCAGTTTCCCGTCTAGTGACTGGACCTCCAAGTTCAATTGCACACTCTTTGATAGCACTAGTAATATTATCGTTCATTGTATCAATGCTAACGTCAGTTCTTTCATTTAGGGTCTCAAATCGATTCTGAAGCAAAACTCTGAATTCCTGTATTTTTTTTTTCCCACTGCCAGTTAATTATTCAGCCTCTTGCATATCAGTTTTTGTCTTTACTTTAAGATCTAGGTGAATACAAGCTCTTACCATTCTATGGTCACTGTACCTAATCTTGCCTACTACTTCTACATCCTGTACAATGTCTGAGTGTGCATAGAGAATGAAGTCAATTTCATTTTTAGTTTCGCCATTAGGACTTCGCCACGTCCACTTACGATTACCTCGTTTTCTGAAGAAGGTATTCATAATCCGTAAATTATTGCGTTCTGCGAACTCTACTAATAACTATTCTCTGGCATTTCTAGAGCCGATGCCATATTCCCCCACTGCATGGTCTCCGGCCTGTTTCTTACCTACTTTGGCGTTAAGGTCGCCCATAAGAATAGTATACTATGCCTCTCCTTTATTAATGGCTGACTCTACGTTTTCATAAAAGCCTTCGACCAAATGATCATCATGGCTCGATGTAGGCACGTAAGCCTGTATCACCTTCATCTTGTACCTTTTGTTAAACTTCATTATATTACTTGCCACCAGTGTGCCAGAAAGTGTACTATTGTTATGTTAATTTTGGGGCACAAAAGAAAAGTTGAAAAAAGTTAATATTGTTTATACAGTCTTCTCTGTCAAACAGCCCATGCACACACACAAAAAAATCATTGTTCACTCCAAAAAGAACAGAGAAAACTAGAAGATGCCAAGCCCATTACCCTGAAGGCAGCGGTGACACCAGCAAGGTCAGCTAGGGCCTCGGGAGCAACCAGGAGCCCATTGACCTGCATGGGATAAGGTATATTACTAAGTGCGATATACAACAATACTTTTATTAAGGTACGTTATCCCCATATATTTTGCTAGGTGATGCAGAATGCTGACTTGTATATTCACAGAAGGGGCTGACACTAGGATAAAAAGGACATTGAACTAGACTGAACAGGTATTTCATTGCAACCACACAGCTGGAAGCCATAATAGTTTAAAGTGATTGTGAGCCCCATCTAACTTAGATTTTACACTTAAAGATTCTTCTATTCATACCTCTTGACATGGGATAGCCAGAATTTAAAATACAAACTGACTGTTTACTAAAATGGGCTTCAACAGCATGCTGAACAAGTGTAAAAAGAGAAAAGGTTCTGTGTGTTAGTATGATTTCACATAACATGAGGAGAATAGCTGGAGAATCAGGCATTTGTGTGGTTTTTGTCTGGCCTTAAAGAGCCTTGCTACTCTTTGCAGCTTAAAGCACAAGTTGAGAAAGGACAGAAATGTTTTACAGTCCAACCATCGAAAGTCTTGCATTAAGGTACGTCAGCCAAATGGGAACATGCCTCAACGACCTGCTGAGGGAACTGAGATCAATTATGTCATAAATAAAGCACATGTGCACTTTACCATTCTCTGACAGCCTGCAACATCAGTTTGCATTACCTATATAATTGCCGAAATTTTGAGCATACTAACCGGTGAAATATTCAAGGCAGTAGAAATTGACCGCTGAGTCATCATTGCCCAAGTGTGACATTAACTGCACTAAAATTGAAACAACTGGAATATTTCAATTAGCATGAGTGGATGACGCAGTTTGCCTTCACTTTAAGGCTTGGTTTTCAAGTTATTTAGATATTCTGAATCCCTCAGTGCAACTTATACAGGGTCTGCCCCAAAAGTTTCCTGAATTTTTGTTTTAAACATAATTTATCATATATCACTTTACAATCTTTTCAGAGCTTTTCAAGGTATTTTCCCCTGGTGTAATGCACCATTGCCAACTCCTCACCCAACCATAGAAAGGAACCTGGAAGCCACAGATGAAAACCTCCTACAAAAATGTTGTTAAAGATGCCTTTACTGTCATATGCTTTTACTGTCTTCAGCAGCGGTCCATGTTCCGTGCTTTTCGGGCTCCTTCCATCATTGGGGACAGAGAGAAGTTTGGTGGTGCCAGATCGAGGTCGTAGAGTGGCTGGAGTGGCGCTCCCACACCCATTTTGGCCAGCAGCTCAGAAATAATCAGTGCAGTGCGACTCCCTTTTCAGCTCAAATGTACGGAATTTTGCACAACAGTTTCCTGCAGACTTACCAATTTATTCGAATCTAGGCTGACAGTTTTTTTATTTCGTTTCATTTTTTTTCCTATTTCTAAGTATCAAACTCTAAGGTCAGCTTAGATTCGAGAATTCTCAAAAACGTGCCATTTTTCACTGAGAAAAGTGGTGCAAAAGCAGCGCCACCTAGATGGTATTGTAGTCATTTGTAGCCGAGCCAACAGCTTACTTAAGTACACATATGTGGCCGCCATTTCCATTTTGATTGTTATGGCGAGTGTTGATGTGAGCCGTTAATCACTTCTAGTTCCCCTTCGAGTTGTCCGTGTGTGGCGTAGCTCAATGGCACCGAACAGGTGGTGTCATTGTGGTGCCACTTGTAAAAGGAAAGTTATCCTAGCCGTGGAGTCGTCATCCAATGTTCAAGCCGGGTGGGACTTTGGAGTGGACTAAAAAATGTGCACCGCTCGAGGGGCTGCTGCTGCAGCCTGGAACGGCAGCCTAGGAACTTTGACTGTGCACTCTTTTAAGAAGTGTGGCATATCCAATGTGCTGACTACAAAAAAAAAGTTTTGGGAACTTTTAGGACACATCCTGTATTTCTAATCTTTTGATAGAAATAAATCAGATAGAAATAAATCAGATAGAAATAAATAAGTCAAGGGCTTATTCTATGCACTATGGTTTATCACCATTCATGAAAAACTTGTGGACAACTCTATCAGCTAGCCTTCTACTTTCCATGTTTTGATTAAAAGCAATGACTGTTTTACATTATGCAAACACTAGCGACTTCGGAGAATAACAACACACAGTCTCTCATACAGAAAGAGAACACTGCATATGCGGATAATGAACCACATTGAACTCCTGCGTGGCAACGGTCAGCCATAGCAATTTCAGGTCATAACATTCAACCAAAACAAGCCTTCGAAGTGACAAGAGTGCTTACTGGAAGTGTGCTGTTCAAGGCAGGATATCGGTTGGCCAAGCAGTGTAACTTCTCCTGCAGGCTGGCACGCGTCGCATTGTTACGGAACAGGTTGCCACCTGTAAGCATCGTGGAACACAGGTGTCAAGAAAACAGGGCAGGCAGAACCTTGTTGAGTTGCAAAGTTGCTTATGAAAATGGGGAAACATTGCCATAAGTAACATTGTTTTAAAATGTGGACAAAAAAGGTGGGCAGGTATGTAAATATTGTAGCCTTGAGACATAAATAATTAGTGCAAACGAGATGTCTGAAAACGGCAAGAAACACATAGGACACGATGCTAACCTTTAGTTTTGCAATTGAAATGTGTAACTTATGCATTGCACACAGTGATGCAACTTTGACTCACAGCTGTAACTTTGACTGTTATTCATTCACTAATCTTTCCTTTTTTTTTTCTGAATCACTACGAAAGCTGTCTGAACGAGTCAGTATGCAGACAAATTTTTCGATAGAAAGCATCCTTTATAGTTGAAAACCAGAGGCAGAGAACTTACATACATATCATGCTATTTATATATAGAATGAATGCGGTATATATTGCCCCATAAACCTGCCACCATGGCCTCATGAGCGGTGCTAAAATTGATGCTCCAAAGGTGATTCGTCTGGTCAAGAGGAGGCAGAATGAAAAAAAGTAAACACAAGAAAAGGCTGACTGAAAATGAAACAATTTTGAAAAACTTTAGGACGCTCTGGCTTCTGTAGGAAGCAAGTAAACCTAGTTTCTGTGCAGAAGCTGAAACATCTTAGGGCTCATTGACACATGCAACACTATGCAACTGGTGCCAAAGACTCAAGGCAACACACGTTGACACGTCAGTTGCCTTGAGTCTTTTTGAGCCACACACAGGTGTCAACCGACGATGACGCCTGAGTGTGGCTTACACCTGTTGCAACACAGAATTCACATCTACTACCCCTGCCATTACCCCACAATAAAGGTTGACATGCTGTTTCTGCGCATCTGATTGGTTTAGAAGTTTGTAACTGCAGCTGCACGACTGAAAATACCTAACAGCGAGTGACTGAGGAGCCAAAATAGTTGCTTTGTGATCGAAGTGGCCATTTTCAACCATTTGCAATTAACTTCGTCACATCGCCAGTGCTATTCACATGTGCGAATGAACCTTTAAAGGGCCACTAAATGCAAATATCAAGTCGACGTTTATTTTTCGAATAGCAGTCAGAAACCTCATAGTGTCACTTCAGTGCAAAAGAAATGCTTATTTCAAAATAAAATCTTGTTACAGTGGTCAACACGACAGTATCCCACTTTAAATCACCTGCTTGATCAGGCCTTCCGACGTAGCAGTTGCTTTGCCCAACGTTGCCAGCTTCTAGTAGGCAGCTGCTGACACTAGTATCAGCAGAGCACTGCTCCGAAAAGCAATATTGTAAGCCTTGACCAAGTTGCGGTCGATCCTCCGCACGAAAGTGCCGCGAGCACACGCACAGATTTTTTTGGCTGTTTAGCACACTGGAGCACAGGCAAGACACTCAGCAACTTATTTGAGTGCAGAGGTTCGTTTCGTGGCACCCAGTAGATAGTCACACGGGTTTCTTTGCTGCAGCTCAAGTGACGTACACCATTCGGGCATCCAGCATCATCACATGTAGGTACATAAAATTTTGTCCATGTTTCTATCACAATGACTTTTGTAAGCGTGGAAAGCACATGCACCAGTACATTACAGTCTACACTCATTATAATGGACCTGCATACAACAGACTTTCAGATCGAACAAACGATTACTCAGCCTAAGTTTAGTTTGCGTATTAAATTAAAAAAGTGAAGTTTGCTTTTAGCAGACCACACTACCACAGGCTATTGGCTACAGTGGATAAAATTGGTGGAATGTTTTGCCAAAACTGGGTGCAGAAAGTGTACTTTTGCTGTGCTGGCTGACTGACTTGACCACACTGCTCTCTGCACGCTCATGCATCAATACTTTTGAACTGCGACTGGAAACACTGATGGCTTCTGGCCAAGTCTCGCCTCCAGCCATGCCAGTCTGAGAGCGTGTTAGTCATGGTTAAAGTCTCCAGAGGACAGCGTAGGCCGTACACTGACCATGTATTTTGCTGTACATCTATGTACCTTTTTCTTCATAACCGTAGGTGCTGCTGTAATTATTTTATTATCATTGCTATCAAAAGCTTTTCCTAATCTCTTTGAAGCACATTTATCCCTGAAAATGGAACGCTTCCTTTTTTGTAATTTTTTTATTCATGTATGTAATTATCACTCAGTAAATAGGTATTTAATGTCTCCTTGAACAAAACCACTTCCCCACCCAATAATTATTCTGCTTCAGTATATTCAAGCTTTCAGCAGGTGACGTAACAAATGATGAAATTCTGATTGATCTCCCGAACTTCAACGTTTTTGAAAACGATCGCGAAGGCGCCCGTAGGAGAGGTGCACTAATCGCGACTACCAAGATACTGTCATGCTCAGTCATTGACATTACGTCGCACTTGGAAAGTTTATGGCTTCTCACTCATTCCACGCTAATAACTTGGTGTAAAATGTTCCAATAGAAATGTTTCAATAGTGTGGAACTTTCCAATAGCTTGAAATGTGCCATCCACCTCTGCAAAGCAGCCCCGATTTCCCAAAGAAATTTAAAAGATATTGAACTGTCTCATTTGGAAACATCCAAACGTGCGTGTCCTAATTTTCAGTTCCTTTAACTATCCTGACATTGACTAGCAAGAAGAGCAACGTTATCATCAGGAACCGGCACAGACACATAAGAATTCGTCAATACCTGTCTTATCTTTAACCTCACACAACTGGTAATAGAGCCAACCCGGGTGACATGAAAAACAGCACACATACCAGACTTGATACAAACAACACACCCTGAAAGTTTATTTTCCCGTACATACCTACACAAAATTAGTAATCATAAGGTAATGCACTCAGTCTTCAACTTCAACCACTTGTCTCACCAGCTGCAGCGAAAGACTATCACTTTGTACAATAAGAGAAACTACCAGCAACGAACAATAAACTTCAAAGCTTTTTTCTGAACTATAAAGCTAGTTTTCTGAAACAGATCAGTCAAAGACAACTGAAAAATTTTCTAAAGAAAATTTGGCAAATTAGCTAGAAAGTTACAACTCATTTTGCGCATTTTGCCAAAAACCACGATTCATGAAAAAATTAAAAACAAAAAAATTATTATTTCAATTCACCAAGTAGAAGCACAGCTCTAACAAATGGGAGAAACACTATGAGAAACACTATAAAAGCATATAATCTCGTGTTACACAGCACAAAGCACTCATTTTTTCCCACAGACCTACCCAAAATTCTAACTCATAATCACAGAAAATTCTGAGAAATCATTAACCCGCAACAGATGCACAGTGTAGAACTGAAAATTGAAGCGGGTGAAGAAATGTGTAATACTGAAAGTGCTTAGCTGTTCAGTGCTGCTTTTTCATCTGTTTTTCCAATCAAAACCTATATGTGTGTTACCAGATTGTACTGCGCCATCTGTGTCACCTATAATTTTTATCCCAGAAGGCATACCGTCTGTTATTGAAAAGTTTAAACTATTTTCTTCCGTGGGTATGGATAAAATTAATCTGAAAATTCTTAAAAAGACTAAATTCATTGTTTCGATATTTTGTCGCTGACATTTTCCGAGTCACTTCACACTAGAAGATGGGGAAGGTCACTCTGGTCTTCAAATCAAGTAACAAAGATAGCCCCCTAAACTATCAAACTACCTCTTGAACAAGTGCACCCTGCAAAATCATGGAACACATAATTTACTCACTCATTATTATTTTCTGAACAGCAATAACTTTTTGCAGCATGGGTTTCGTGGGGATTACTCCTGCGAAACCAAATTAGCCCTCTTTGTCCAGGATTTTCAGACTATGCTTGACACTAAACAGAAGACTGACGAAATATTTCTGAATTATTTGAAAGGGTTCTACAGAGCACCTCACAAGTGGCTGCTGATGAAACTTAGATCTGTAAACATACATCACGACATAATAACTTGGATCAAGAAAATTCTGGCTAACTGCTCCCAGTTTGACATTGATGACGTACACCTAGTCCCCTTCCAGTTACATCAGGCGTCCCTCAAGCAGGGATGGAAGTGGACTTTTGTGTTTTGGAGCAGGTTCGGAGCACCAAAATGTGCGTTTTGGAGCAAGGCAAGTTAGTTTTGTAGCAGTTTTCTACAGTCAAAAATCATTGTTAATTGAACTTATTCTTGGTAAAAAAATTGCCATGGTTTTCCCTAAATATTCAGTACTTTTAGTACTAATAGCTTACAAAAGTTACCACCAACAATATATATATATATATATATATATATATATATATATATATATATATATATATATATATATATATATATATATATATATATATTGTTACGCATGCCTTGGAAGAAAACGAAGATAGGTGAACATGCTGACTGCCCCAAGCTGGAGGAAGAAAGAAGACGACGAGACTGCGATCATCAACCTGTTGGCCGCTCCGGCGCTTCTCTTCGCGACCAAAATAAACGGCCCCCTTCAGCCGTATACGTCCTGGTCCTCCTTGTGCGTAACAGATTGGTGGAGGTGCTGGGTAAGACAAGCCCAACGACGGGAGCTTCACTACCTGGACTACGCCGCAGCCGCCGCCTTGCCAGACTCCCGCCTGCGCCGATCGTAATGGCCCAAGATCAGCCATCTAACGCTTCAAGGCCAACTCCAATGGGTTCCGTGCCCTACTACCGAGTCCCGCCAACCTTTGGAGGAAAATCGGGAGAGGATGTCGACGCGTGGCTCGTCCAGTACAAGCGAGTCAGCAAGTCCAACGGCTGGGATGCCGCCGCTCAGCTCAGCAATGCGGTCTTTTGCCTTACGGATACTGCGCTCGTGTGGTACGAAAACCACGAGGACACACTGACGACGTGGGACGTTTTGTTGCAGAGCTGAAAGCGTGTTTCGGCGACTCGAGCGTCAAAAGGAAACGGGCAGACATTGTCTCAACGCGCGCACCTTCCAGGTGAGACATGTACCACGTATATAGAGGATGTG